TGAGTTAAGAAGGCCTTTGCAAGGTTGTATTGTGTTGTGTTTTCTGAGAAGTCCCCATTGCTGCCAGGAGCGTGAATAATGGTAAAGCTTATAGACTCTGTGATGTGTCTAGGAAGTCAATGCCAGTACAAATTCCTCTCCACTTTGGCTTCCTGAGGAAAAGCTTCAAAGATGCCCTATCCATTTCTGGGCTCTAAGAGGAGACAGGACGGCTGGGATAATTATCCCAATTCTTTCTTCTGATTTTGGCACTGTTCCAGGCAGACCTACCTCTGACGTCATTCCCACATCACATTCCCTGCTGGCAGATTTTGGAATGTCAGAATGGCTGTAACTTTCCATGGAACACTGGACATTTGCACTCATTAGGTAAAGGACATGCTTACCCCATTCTTTGGTCTTCTAAGAGCATACCGTGTAAGCCCTTGACCGTTTGCAGGCGGTGGAGACTGACATTCTCTGATTATATCACTTGGAGTGGCAAGGAGAACGTAGGGCACAGAGATATACGAGTTGGGTTTCATTACCACCGGGCTAGGTGAACTTGGTGGGGGAAGTAAGTGAACGTCTCTGAGCCTTAGTGTATTTGTCTTTTAAGGTTGCGATCAATTTTGATAACGTGAAGGAAGCATTATAGAAACGTTATCAAATGAAGGGAAGACTGGAGAATTTTTTGTGAAAATAGAAAAGGAAGCAGCTAAAAATGACTTGCCTGTATCTTTTCTTTCTCACTCTGTGTTATTCTAAGTCCTCCAAAAAGCACATGCCAAGATGGGATCCAGTGCCTGCGAGAGAAGGTGGGGAGGCCCTGGGCGAGGCTGGGGTAGCTGTCACATTTCCGTGTGGGTCTGACTGCGAGGGAAGGAGGGGAGGGCGGGAGACCGTCTCTTAGATGGCAGTGTGCTCTGAGGAAGGTGTGGCAAGGCTGTCAGGGAGTCCTGAAGCCAAAGCCATGTGGGGGGGGCCTCCTGTGTCTCCCAAGGATGGGCCTGCGCCAGCATCCCTGCACACTCTTCAGCCCAGAGCAGGACCCTTACTACACTGATGGTGGGTTCCAGAATGCCACAGGTGGGACCCTTGGTTGAACTCCCTGTAATTGGAGGTCTTGGGGCACCTTCTGTGATGACAACGTCCTCTCTCCAGAAAGTTTTGACGAGCCAATAATGTGACGCAGAGCCTTCCTTCCAGTTAAGCTGCCCTGTGGTGTTGACTCTTTAAATTACCTTGGAGTAAGGAATTCATAAGAAGAGAGGGGGAGGGGAGACTGGTGAGGGAAGGAAAGGCATAGAGAGAGACGGGTTAGTCAACTCTAGTTCAGAGGCCTCCTGAAAGGCTCAGCCATGCTGTGAGTGTCCTTGGCAGGTGCAGAGGGGACACTAAGGAAGGAGTGACGGATGTACATGTACAGGATGGGAGTCTGGCAGAAGGCCAGACAGTCACCCCTAGGGCACTCCCTGTCCACTCGCATTCCTTTCTATCTGCGGAGCTGGTGAGGGGGTAGGTCTCCATCTCCCTGGGCCTCGCTGATGGGCCTCACTGCTGTCACCACTTGGGCTCTCCGTGGTGCCAGTGAGGCCCCGCCTGAGCCTGGACCTCAGGTTGAAGGAGGCTGAAGACCAGCTCGTTCCATCCTGCTGGTCATCCTGGGCTGTTGGCGGTAAACGTGGCCGTGAAGCGCTCTCTGCCTCAGAGAGGTGCTGACAGCTTCAGGGATGCACCCCTCTCCTTCCCTCTTCTCTGCCCCTTGCTTCTCCTCTCCCCTCCCATCTGGACTTGAAATGTCTTCATTTTCGGGTGTATCTTGGAGACTACAGCCCATTCAGGGCAGTGGGTAGCAAAACTGAAAATTTCCTCATGTAGCTTCCAAGACTCCCAAGCCCCTCATTTCTAAGCATTTAAACAAACAGTGGTTTCAGGGATAAGTGGGAGCTGTGGGAGCTTCTGAAGGTCATGAAACTAAGTTTGGCTGTGGGTATTGTTCTTTAATAACATTGCTATCCCATGGGTCAAAGCCAACTTTGATTTATAACCCCATGAAGATGGTAGGTCATTAGTTTTTCTTCCTGTTTTCCTTCTCTTGTTAAGAACATTTTTTTTTCCTAAAATTTTTTCCTTCAAAGAATATTTATTTCCATGTAGAAAAGTGAGGAGGGGGTGATTTGTGTGTGTGGCTTTTGTTTTGGGTTTTTTTCGTCTAGAACATTTGAAAAAGAGGAGGTATGTGAAATGATTTCAGAGCAAGAGAGAAGAATCAAATTGCTCTTAAGATCCGCCAAGCTTCCCTGCGAGTTAACACTGTTCATGGTACTTCATTGATGCTCAGTTGTACCAGAAAACACACACTGGTCTATAAATCAGAACTGGGTTCTCATCTTCACCAGACTGTAAACTAGGGGGACACCTTGCTGGGGTCTCTGCACTGCTCAGGGTCTTATTTGAAAGATGGTGACATAGAAAGGATAGAGAGTCCACTCTACCCCAGACCCTTTGACTTATCTTGGTCCCTATTTTCTGATCCCTTCATCAATTTTATGGATGCATCCAAGGATTCCTGCAAAATTTTCAAAGGGAGAGGACTAGATTTTAATGCAATTTTCAGAAAAGGAAAATAAGCAGGTGGAAAGTTGTTTATTTTTTGGTCAGGATATTCTCTAGGGGTGCAGGGTATCTCTTAAAAGTATTTTCTGAAATGTTGAGGTTTCAATTGAAAATCACTTGCTATAGCAGAAATGAGGAAAATCTCAGATGGATAAAAGAGAGTCAAGAGATGGCAATCCCGAGATGACAGATGTTGGAATTATCTGACAAGGATGTTAAGGGCGCCATCATTAAGATCCTTCCATGAGCAATTACACTCTTGACGCAGAAGAAGTAGAAAAGCTCAGCCAAGAAATAGAAGAAAGAAGAGCCACATGGAAGTAATAGCACTAAAACCTACAACTGCTGAAATAAAATCTACATGAATGGGCTCAACAGCAGAGGGGAGGTGCTTTCCCCAAACATTGCTAACTGAACTGAATTAAGACTTCGGTCAGGATACATGGTCATAAATATAGATGTGGTTTAATATAATATTTAATTATTTAGTATTTATATTAAAAGTTGCCCCCAAATCACACCATCTTTGAAACATCCTATTTTGCTGTTTAAAGAATTCCCATGGTGGGCGCCTGGGTGGCTCAGATGGTTAAGTGTCTGCCTTCGGCTCAGGTCATGATCCCAGGGTCCTGGGATCGAGTCCCGCATCGGGCTCCCTTCTAGGCGGGGAGCCTGCTTCTCCCTCTGCTTCTGCCTCTCTCTCTCTCACTCTCATGAATAAATAAATAAAACATTGAAGAAAAAAAAAAGAATTCCCATGGTGAACACTTATACTCTGTATTTAAGATAGGCATCCAAGTGATGAGTTACTTTGCCTCTGAAAAATCTCAGTGTGTCTGTTGGAAGCTGGCCTGATGTGTGGCGGGAAGGCGGTTATAAGGCAGCTGAGAAAACGACCAACCAGTCCTTGCTGGGCTAAGAGTATCACCACTGGAATGCGGAAACGAACGAGTCTCTGCCAATCCCACCACCTGGGAGTCAGTAAGGGATTCAGGCCAGAGGACCGGGCTTCGAGGGGGACACTGGCAAATGGCGTGGGTACAGACAAGTCAGCTAGTGTAGTGAGAAGTCCAGAAGACTGGTCTGGTGAGGAATGAGTGCAAAGCCTGGGACTATTTAGTATAAAGAAGAGGGCCTGGATTGGCTGTATTTCTACATCTGGAGGGTTCTCATTTAGAAAAAAGATGTAGTCTCCTTGTGTCTGTGTTTGCTCCAAATGGGCCATTCGTACATTAAAATCTCACAGGGCAGTGCCTTCTAGGAAGGCCGCTTTTGAAAAACTCGTTCTTAAAACAGAGTTTTCTTGTCTGTAAAACAGCATCTGGTGTTAAAAGCTTGTAAACCAGTCGAAAATGCACATCTGTGGGCTGGATTGGGATTGACTCAGACTTTGGGGATGAAATGGCCTGCGTGGGTGGTGCTGTCTGCCAGGTGCGTGTGGGGTTCTGTGTGAGTGAGGCTGATGGACACATGCTGCTTAATGTCTCCAAAGGGACTGAACAGAGTCTCCCCTGGCCCCTGGTGGAGGCTTGTCTTCCCACCCCGGTGCTTTGGGAGCCTCCACTCTGAGCTCTCTGAGAAACCCACAGAGCGGTAGGCGCTCATGAAACGGTAATTAATCCGACGCACGCTCTCTTGCCTTCACTGTGCTTGATCACCTGTCCTGGAGAGAGGAGTGTGTTCTTCCCCAGTCGTCCTGGACAGCCCTGCCTCTGTGGCAAAGGCCAGTGGAGGGGGCAGGGGTCCCTGTTCCTGCACCTGGCGGGGGCGGGGTTGGGGGGGACCTGGGAGGGTGGGGGCAGCTGCTGTCCTGGTGCTTCCTGAACGCATGGGGGTGCTGCTCACCTCATCAAGCCCCTGGGGTCTCCGGGACTGCCCCTGAACCCTCTGTCCCTGTCCTCATCCCCAAAGGTCTCCTTTGGCATTCACAGTTGGGTTCACAGCCATCAGGGCTATCCTCTTGGGTAACTACAAATGTACTAGTAACCTCTCCAGGCTTGGGTCTCACCGTCTCCCCTTTAAGGAAAAGAGGGTGGGAGCTGCATTTCCTGTGCTTCTGACAGTTCACAGCTTTGCCTCCTTCTTCCTTGTGGTCTTCCTGCTTCTCCCACTCCTCTGGAGTGATGTGTAGTCTGCTTGAGGTCCTCGGGGGTGGCCTTGGCTCCCCCCTGTCCTCTGCGGCCCGGAGAGATGCTCTTCTTAAAGGGCTTGAAGGAAGCTGCTCAGACCAGACAGGACGTTTCCCACTTGTCCTTTGGAGCACTGAGCTCCAGGCCTCTTAGAAGGAGTCAGGCCAGGAGCTGATGCGTGTGTTTGCATAAGTATTAGTAGCGCACCGTGTGCCCTGGTTCTGTAGCGGAGGACAAGCCTAACTTATTCATTTACAGCTTCTTTTATTGCAGAAAAAGGAGTGGACGTGGGATGAGAGCAAGATGCTGGTGATGCAGGACCCTATCTACAGGTAAGAGTCCTGCCCCCCGCCTGTTGGCCCCTGGAGGTGTCAGGCTGGTGGGGCCAGATAAATTCAGATAAATTTCTACGGCTTTTCCCTTCTGCGACCCATTGTTTCTATACATGTAAGTACAAGAAGCATGTCTACCTTATCTTTAAGCTCGAGAGGAAAATTCTTCTTAGGCTCAATTGCACTATCTAGAAACGACGAAGGATTTCTGCTTGGTGTTTAGTCCGAATCTTTTGGTCGTAATTTGAAACTCTTCCAAGTTGTGCTAGTTTTATCTTCACTGAAATTTTATAGTTGCATATCTCTTCCACCTCTCTGCCCCTTCAGAAACTGAGCGCAGATAAAGGGTTTGTGATCTTCTGGGAAAGCAGAAAGTCACACATATAATCCCTAGAAATTGCTTTCACAACGAGATTGGTAGGATTCCTCTAGAGATTAGACGTGTACTACCTGGGCAGAGGAATACCTGGGAGTCACAATACAGAGCACCAGGGTGCTCCTTGGACCCACCGTGGGACCTCAGTTCACGAATGTTCCTCTGGTGTCGTGGACTCCGCTGACCAAGCCTCACCCACCCCACCCCTACCTCCTTCCTGTTTTTTTCACCGACAGAATGGGCATTAACTCTTCCTTTGGTATTTGGGGGAACCTAGAGCCAAATGACTTGCTTCGGTCGACAAAACGGATAAAGGTTGAGACTCCACTGCCAAGTTGGCAACATGATGGCCCTGCCTTCTAGTCAAAGAGTGGATGCCTGTGAAATGGAATTTCCATTCATTCAAGGAAATATACGAATGTGAAAACACTCAGGTCAGGTGCTGTGCTGGATGCATAGCATCCAGCTTAGTCAGTGGGTGACTGAAGTGAGTCAGTCACGGTCCCTCATTCTCGGGCAATGTTAGTCTGGAGGGAAGCACATCACTGGGGCACAGGACCTTGTGTCTGACAACATGAGTTTCTTTCTCTGGGTTCCTGTTGTACTTTTAGATGTTTGTGGAAACAAGTGTTCAAGTGTGTTACTGTCACTTAAAGTCTTTTGCTGGTAGACGATGAGGCTCTTGTGGGGGAAGGACTACGCCCACCTCACTTTCGTATTTCTAGCATCAAGCCAGTGTCTGGCCTGGATGCATCATTTAATAAATGTGTGATGGGTGGATGGAAAAATGCACTCGACTAATATCTGAAAATTAACTTGAGTGTTACGGTGATTCACAGGAGGGAATAATCACTTTCTACTTGAGTGATAAGGAAAGGCTTCAGGAAACAGATCGCATCAGAACTGGGCTTGCAGGATGTGAATGGATGAGCCCCTCATTTGCCTTTTGTAAAGGGAAGAATTTCTTGGAGTGTTTTTGTTCTTTTTTTTTTTTTTTTCATAATGATACCGTACACATGCAAAGCCTGTGCTCCTTGTGGATGCTGCTCATGGACTTGAATCAACCTTTCCTGGGTTGAAAGAAAAGGACTTTCCCCAAAGTTTTAACTACATAGCCCAAACAAGCTATCAGTTTTAGTTTTTATAACAACTTTATTTTGAGGTGTAGTTGACCTACAAGAATTGAGCATATTTAACGTGATTACTTTGGTAAATTTTGACCTATGTGTACACTTCTAAAGCCATCACCTCCGTCAAGATGACGAGCATATGTCACCCCCGAGAGTTCCCTTGTGTGCCCACTTGTAACCTCTCCCTCCCGCTCCTTCCCCGCCCCCCCGTCTTGGCCCATCTCCCTCCTTCCTGCCCTCCACATCCCCAGGCAACTACTGATCTCCTTTCTGTTTTTCCACATGAATTTGTGTTTTTTTAAATTTTGTATAGAGTCGTACACTGTATCCTCTTTCTGGGTCTGGCTTCTGTCCTTAAGCATAATTATTCTAAGAATCACCTGTCATTGTATGCATCAGTAGCTTATCCCTTTTTATTCCTAAACGGTATTCCACTGTACGAGCCATTCGTACGTTGGTGGACATTTTGGTGGTTTCCAGTTTGGGGTTATCAGAACAAAAGCTTACGTGACTGTTCAGTACAAGCGTCTATATGGACATACGCTTTCATTTTTCTTGGGTGAACACACAGGAGCAGAATGACTGATTATATGATAGGTTTCTTTTTTTTTGGTTGGTTTTTGTTTTTGTTTTAAAATATTTTATTAGAGAGAGTACAAGCAGGGGGAGGGGCAGAGGAAAAGGGAGAAGCAGGCTCCCCACTGAGCAAGAAGCCTGATGTGGGGCTCGATCCCAGGACCCCGAGACCATGACCTGAGCCAAAGGCAGACGCTTAACTGACTGAGCCAGCCACGCACCCCTATTTTTCTTTTTTTCATGAAAGTGCCAAACTTTTCCCAAGTGGTAGAACCGCTAGTGGAGTTTGAGACCTCCAGTTCTTCGTATCTTTGCCAGCGTCTGGTATTGTTAGGTTGTTGTTGTTTTTTTTTTTTTTTTTTAGCTCTTCAAATACATGCATATTAATATCTCACTGGGGGTTTAATTTGCATTTCCTATTGACTAATGACCTTGGCATCTTTTCATTTTATGTGCCATTCCTGTATCTTTTTGTGAAGCATCTGTTCAAATCCTTAGCCCATTTTTCATTGGGTGGTTTTGTTTTCTTACTGAATTTTGAGAGTTCTTTATAAATTTTGAATGTATATCCTTCATCAGGTGTTTGGTTTGCAAATATTTTCTCCAGGTCTGGCTGGGCTTTTCTCTCTCTCTTTAAAGATTTTATTTATTTGAGAGAGAGAGAGAGAAAGCATGTGTGGGAGAGAGAGAGAGCACAAAAGGGGAGCAGCAGAGGGAGAAGCAGACTCCTGCGGAGCAGGGAGCCCGATGTGGGACTCGATCCTGGGACCCTGGGATCATGACCCAAGCCAAAGGCAGACGCTTCCTCGACTGAGCCACCCAGGCATCCCTCAATTCATTTCTTTAATACGATACGAGGGATGTATCAAAGTTTTTGTTTTTCCTCCTGCAAACAGATATCTCGTTGCTCTGGACTCATTTGTTGAAAAGACTGTTCTTTCCCTGCTGAAGGACCTCTGTTGAAAATCTATTATCGCTCTCTGTGTTGTTCATTTCGAACTCTTTATTCTGTTCAATCCATCCAGTTGTCTGTCTTGATGCCAGAACCACAGTGTCTTGTTAACTGTGGCTTAACAAAGATTCTTAGAATCGGGCAGTCTATCTTCTAGCTTTTCTTCTTTCTTGAAGATTGCTTTCAATTAGTACTAGTATGACGTAGCTTTTTCCTTCCCTTCACTTATAAGAAGAAACATGCTTTTTGATGGCGGGTGAAAAACATCAAAGAAATATTACATTTTAAAGTGAATTAAAAAAAATTTTTTTTTAAAAATTTTAAGGTAGGCTCCATGCCCAACCTGGGGCTTGAACTCACAACTCTGAGATCTATTTGACAACCCTTCTCCCCACCCCCTAGAAAAACAAAACAAAACAAACAAACAAAAAACCTCATCCAGCAGACTTTCTGGTTGTAGGTGTCTCGTGGATATCTTGCTAATCTGTCAGAATTCAGCAGCAGCCTGCATTTACCAACAAAGGTACGAAGTTTTGCCAGTGCTGTCCCAGGCTGCTAGATGCTTCCCCCCCCCATGTATTAAATTGGGGTGTTTTTGGTCTCTGTACATGGAAATTTGTATGTCTGTGTATTATGAGTCAATGAAAGAAGACTGTATTCCAAACTGTATGTCTCGGGGCGCCTGGGTGGCTCAGTTGGTTAAGCGACTGCCTTCGGCTCAGGTCATGATCCTGGAGTCCCGGGATCGAGTCCCACATCGGGCTCCCTGCTCAGCGGGGAGTCTGCTTCTCCCTCTGACCCTCTTCCCTCTTGTGCTCTCTCTTTCTCTCATTCTCTCTCTCTCAAATAAATAAATAAAATATTAAAAAAAAATAAACCGTATGTCTCATTAAATCGTCAATAAGAACATTTATCATCATGATAATATGGTAACACTCACAAATGAGCTTTTCTTGGGGCCCGTTCTGCCCTTCCGGAACCCGTCTGGCATTGCCGCAGAATACATAATCGCCAATAGATTTTATGAAACATGATTACTCTGGCATTTGCTTCCAGAAAACTCCTTTGTGGTGCGGTACATTCTTCCGCTCCAAAAGAAATGCCTTTACCACATCAGTAACGGGATCCTCTTTTATTAGCTCGAATTTTAAATTTAAAGTGTTTGCATCTCTCCCATTGAATAATAGAATCATGGTTTTTTTTTTTTATTGTGGTGAAATATAAAATTTGCCATTTTAATCATTTTAAGCGTACAAATTAGTGGCACCAATCACACTCACGGTGGTGTGCAGCCGACAATACCTTCCAAAACCTGTTCATTGTTCTAAATAGGAGCTTTGTGCCCATCAGCGAGGACCCCTGTTTCCCTCTCTCCAAACCCCAGGCGACCTCTAAAGTCATGGGATCTTACGAGGTTGAAAGCACTGTGGTGGACATGTGGCCCAGCACCCCCCCATCGCAGGAGGCTTCTGTCCCCTGTGCTGATTTGCTGGGGCCATGCTCCTCACTGTGTTTATGAGACTTTTGTCCATTGATCCTGGCTCTCTTCTCTGGAGCCACAAATATGTAGATCTTATTTCTCTAAAGCTCCCAAAGCCATTCTTCATTATGTTTTTTCCTAGACTTCCTAATTTCAGAACCCATTATTTCCTCTTAAGATGTATTAGAATTTAATATGGTATCCCAGATGCTGTCTTATCAGCGTCAGATGTAGAGACCTAATTTTACCCTCATGAGAGGGAGTTTTGCATTTATTTTTAAAGAATGAGATCATACTATATTTTGCTTATTTTTTTAAAAGATTTTATTTATTTATTTGACACAGAGAGCACAAGCAAGGGGCAGCAGCAGAGGCAGAGGGAGAAGCAGACTCCCCACTGAGCAGGGAGCCCAACGTGGGGCTCGGTTCCAGGGCCCCAGGATCATGACCTGAGCTGAAGGCAGACGCTTAACCGACGGAGCCACC